CACTAGCAATTTCCAGTTATCATCTGTAAATGAAATTAATAATTGTTTCTTAATAGAAATACAGTCGTTACATCATAAAAAGATCCTCATGTTACATAATATAAGACATAACTGTTAAATGTCAATGTTGTATCAGCTGATTGTTAAATATGTAATTCACATGCACAGGGTGGCGCACAAAATTCGATATTTTTGACGATTGGCCGAGGGATGGACAAGCAATAAAAGGGTAGTAATAATATGAAAAAATAGGGCCTCAAATTGCGACTCAATTTACAAAATTTACAAGATTGCGACTAAGAATACTACAAATATAATTTTAACAAATTCATAATTTATCTGGGATGATTTGATCAAAAGTTTGCGAAACTTTATTTATAAATTTGAACTATTTGCAAATTTTAATAATTATTATTATTGTGGATGCGCCTGTGCATTTATTTATTTATTTAAATTCAAAAAAAGAAATCACTAGCAATTTCGATTATGGTCAAATTATTGTCCAATGAAATTGTCTTTTATTGTCCAATCTTTTTACACTTTTCGACCAATTTTCTTGTCAACTGGAACCCGTGGACACTTATGATCTGCATAATAAAATCAGAGGCAATCATTTAAAAAGCAGAATTCTGCGTAGAAACCTTCTATAACAAAGGAACAATGAAGGTTGCTCTTTGGATATTATTTTTTCTCGCGAAATTCGTTCACTCGGAAATGGATTTGAGTGTAGTTGAAAAGTATTTTCAGTATAGAAACATAAAATCGGCGACAATTCTTACATGTTTTAATAAGAAAGGTAAGGTATTGGAATATAAACAATAAATTAATAAATAATTATTCGTAGATCGTTTAAACTTGTTCAGACAATTAATCACAGTTAATGCGAATTTAATTATACTCGATATGTCTGATGCAAACTTCGATTTGAAAACGAGCGATGTTTCGAGAGCAGAGAACAAACATTTAGGTTTGTTGATTGATATGTATTGTCCGGAGGCCGTGGATGTCTTAGATTTGGTAAACGCGATTAAGAAACAAATGAATTGATTGTAATTGTTTTTTGTTTAGTGTTCCAAATACAATGCTTTCAACGTAGTCCATCATTGGTTGATCTTCTTACCGACCTACGATTTACAGGCGATTTTTCAAAACGTTTCCATGACGATAGCGAGCGACGTGACTGCGGTTGTTAAATCCAAGGATCACTGGGACGTTTTCGATATTTACAATCAAGCGTTTCGTCATGGCGGAAAATTGAAGATTTATTTTCAACAATGTTTGTTCGATAGGTTTCATGGTGAACGGATCAGCCTCTATTGGAGAAGAAAGAATATGACTGGTGTTACTTTTAAAGCTATGGTTGTGGTAATTACTTTAATTTTGTTTAATATATATACATATATATAAAAGCAACTTCTTTTTGAGCGTTGATTTTAGTTACCTAGAAAGTTTGAAGGAAGCTTATTAGATCATCTGATGAGCGATGAACACCGCGAAGTGAACACATTCAATAGATTCCACTCGCTTTTAGTCTATCACGTACGCGATTTCTACAATTTCACGTGAGAATTATTAATTTGTTTTGTTCATAAAATTTATATTTGCTTTAGTTTGGATATGTCGTGGACGCCTTCGTGGGGCTTCATTTTGCCGAACGGTACTTTCGACGGTTTGGTGAGAGCTTTGCAAATCGGAGCTGTGGATTTCGGTGCGACTCCACTTTTCGTTAAGCCAGAAAGATTACCCTTTGTTGATTACGGAAGACCCACTTGGATTTTACGGTATTCTTTTTGTAAAACGAATATTGTTTTTTGTATGCTTTAAATCAAGTTCTGCTTTCATTTTTAAACGTCCCAAACGTCCAGCAAGTTTTGAGGTGTTTCTTCGACCGTTAGATGGAATGGTTTGGTGTCTAACGGTGATTTCGATCATACTCATTGTGGTTCTCTTCAAAATTTCTTTAAATTCCGAACGTAGGATTAAAGTTAATGCGAATATTGAATTCGAGAACACGTGGAGTTCTCTTTTCCTGTGCGCTATTGGAGCGATATGCCAACAAGGTAGCAACATTTCTAAAACTAAATTTTATATTAAATTAAATTTGCAGGTTCATCCGCAGCACCTAAATCGATCACAACTCGCGTTTTGTTCATCTTCATGTTCATTTTTACCATTCTCCTCTATCAATTCTATTCTGCCAGTATCGTGTCAACTCTCCTCATGACTCCCGAAAAGTTCATAAAGACCATCGACGATTTAATCCGAAGTCATATTTACTTGAGCTGCGAAGACACTCTCTACAACAGGGATTACTTAGCCAAGATAAAGAACAGAACTTTCGTTAAATTGCTAGAGGATAAGGCTCTGAAATGGGGCAACGAAAGTTTTTACATGGAACCAGAAATGGGATTGCGTTTGGTGGCAAAAGGAGATTTCGCTTACCAAGTAGAAATGGCCACTGCGTATCCGATAATCAAGAGAACATTCGACGACGATACAATCTGCAGTCTGGATGCGATCGAACTTTTGAGCATGAAACAAACGTTCCAAGCCTTACCGAAAGGGTCACCGTTCAAGGATATGATGAACACCATGTTAGTAAGCGTCTCAAAGTAAGGAAAAAGATGCATTAAAACATTGTTTACAGTTTGCAGAAGATAGCTGAGAACGGTTTGCTGCGAAGACAGTTGAATCATTGGTCGGAAAGTGAACCTGCTTGCATCCGGGCGACCAGTGCAATCGCCTCTTCTGTTAGCATAGAAGAATTTTATCCTGCCCTTTCCGTCCTCGCGATCGGTCTCATCCTAAGTATTAACATTCTACTTGTAGAAGTATTCATTAACTACAGATCACTACGACAAACTAAATCTAGAACGATACCTGAACACCGCACAGCAGATAGAGATAGACTGTACGAATGATTTACTTAAAATTTTATAATTAAATTTATTTGAAATAAATAAACATTCTAAATACAATTATAGTATTAAAGATACAAATAGAGATATAAGCAACTATAGACATACACAACATGCCAGTCGAGACACAAAAGAAATATAATCGTAATTGTTTTTTTTTTACTGTTTTAATATTTATATATATATAACAAGACATTGGGCTGGAGGGGAGAGAAAGACGTACGCAATAATATTGTGTTTTTTTTTTGTATTTGTTTCGCGAATCATTTGTTTTGTATGTGTGTTTGTGTTCCATTCCTCTCTTTCCTTCATCCTGAATTGCCTTTTGTGTCCTCCCACTCTCTCTCTCTCTCTCTTTCTCTCTCACTTATACCCAAATTCCTTCACGGATTATCGTTCTTCTAATATCACAGTTTCTTGCGGGCAAAGATTCAATTCCATCAACGTCTTGCTGGCGTCCATCAATGTCAACTAATTGAAACGGTTTACATTCATTACAGACACAACCTTTCGTCAAATATTAAAATATACTTACATCGCGCCTCGGCCAACTGGAAATCACTTTATACTCTTCAGTCGGGTATCCTTTGACGACGCAATAGTCCATTAAAACCTGAGAAATTAAAAGCGGATTAGAGATGGAAATTTGACGGATTCTTTCGTATACTTTTAACGGAGTGTTAATGTAGAATCTTCTCTCTAGGTTATCTCCCGTGGGCAGCCTAAATCTAATCTTGGTTATATTCGAGGTACCCGGAGCCGGCTCTTCGGGTAGACTTTGCTCCACTTTGAGTCTGTGATCCTCTCTACGCGCCGTTTCCACGGCAATCTCGTTCTCAACTCTCTCCCTTTCTCGATTCTCTGCCTCCGCTTGAGCACGTTTCGCCTCTTCTTTAGCCCTAAAAATAATATTCAATTACATTAATAAGAGATTAACTGTGTTAAAATACTTTCTTTTCAAAGTCTTAAAGTTTTCTATATAAGTTTCACTAAAAAATAAACGAATGTTCTAATTCTACAAATTTGATTATATTAATATCTAAACTATATTCTAAGCAAATTTAAACCTTTAAAATTTCTTTTATTATATGAAATTTTAAAACCAAAATAACTTTAAATATCTGTTGAAATTTGCATGTTTGTAACAAATCACGGATAAACGCTTTACAATATCATGAATAAAATGCGACTTCAATAGAAGAGATAATTTCGCATATCAGAAAAGACCTTGTAGATCTAATTAATAAAGCAAAACAGTTTACAGCTATGTAGTTAGTAAACAGCATAAGTTTTAATTTAAATTAGAAATAACATTAAAGTAATTGTATAAAGTTTCCGAGAAATTATATAAACGTACAAATTAAAATATCTGTATGAACTCATTGACAAATTCATGAATCGCAATAGTTCTTATTTTTAGAACGTGATTGATTAATAAATAATAAAATTGACATACCTATCAGCCTCCAAGCTCTCATTGTAAGCCATATCTTGCTCCCATTTGACAAGTTCTCTTTCGGCGCGCTCCTGTTCCTCTTTCATCTCAACCTTCTGGTGTTCGGAGAATACTTCAACGGCTTCGATCATACTTGATAGCAATTCATTTACGCCCACGTTTCCTGAAAGAACGACACATTAATAAATTTATCGGATAGGAATCTCTCTATTTACCGTAGACAATATTGTAGATATCTGTGGATGACCGTATTTTCATGATAATAAAAATTGCCGGTAGCTTATCGACCGGTATATTTTTCAAACTGGACGCGGCCATTGGTCCTAGGGTGTTCATAATCGATGTCTGCAGACGCGTCCGATTCGTTTCGAACGTCACGTCCCAACCCCACAAAACGAAATTCCTTTCGAGAAGTTGCATCACGCTCTCAAAACCCAACAGCTGCGTGCAGAAAACATTCGAGAGAACACTGGAATCGTGGTGCAAATAAATTCCGAGCAATTTACGCTGCAAAAATACACACATTAAAAAATCTACACGAAAAATTCCATGTACAAGAGCATCTTACATCCTTGCTCGGTTTATTGCACGCTTCTCTGACGGCATCTTCCAAGGTGCCTTGATAGAAGTTCGGATGAATTGGACCGTAACGGTTTGTGAATTGCTCGGAGAAGCTAATGCTCCCAACAATTTCGTCTTCGACGTGCTTTGGAACTGGAAGGAGAAAGGAAAAGACAGATATTATTATAGTCGTCATCGTCGTAAGAATGGTATATACTTACTGAGCGGTTCAACGCGTTTACTGCTGAAGTGATCCATGAAACAATCGTCTTCCACGTTGAAGGATTCAGATGCGTCCTCGAATTCATCATCATCACTATCAATCTGAACCACGTTCCCATCGTTATTCTTCTTTCTCTCTCCTCTCAGTTGCATATTTGAGCCACTTACCTGTCTCAATGTTAAATCGTGCTCCGGAAAACTACGAAACAATGCACAATTATCATATCTCTACGTGAATAATGTAATAAAAAAATTTACTTTATTCCAGATAGAGCCAACATAGTGTTGTCATCGATATTTGGTGGCCACCCGCTCCAAACTTGATTGCGAACGTGTATATTTGTAAGCGAGTATACGTCCGACTTAACGTCCAGAATAGTTTTAGTGCCAGGATAATTTAAACTGTACATCTTGTCTGCATTTTCATCTCTAATTTTTAAAATGTAATTTCCCTTTAACCTTTCAGTCACTTCAGTACTAAAATATGTCACGGATTATATACATAATGTTCAAAATATATATTTAATGGACTTACTCATCCACAGAAAAATCTTGATTATTTATCACTGTTAGATGCAATGCATTCATATCAGGCAGTGAGAGCTCTGAAAGTGGAGTGTTTTGATATTGAGGCATCCTAGCCCAACCTGATAACAGTTGCCTGCAGGTGGCAACCTTCAACTCTTTGTTCAATAAACGCTTTATATCAGCTGAAATTTGAAAACGATTTGTATTTTTTTTGGGTTAGTTAATAAAATTGTATAACACAAACCAACTGTTCCAGTGTCTGGCACTTCAATAGTAACAACCCTATCACAATATTGCACATTGAACTTGATCATTCTAGCTCCATTAACATTAACTGTTGAAGTTGAAGGAAATGAGAAACTGTGGCTATAGTTGTCCAATATGGGCATGCTGCGAGAGTTATGTGGTACATTGTTCCCAACGGAAAGCATATCTGTAGCAGACTCTACTGGGCTCGATGGAATCTCAATGACCTCAGGAGCAGAACCAGCGTTAGCTCTAGAGTTCCCTTGGAATGATTGCAAGTCCTGAGGCATAACTTTATTAACTGCATTCTAAAATTACACAAATTGCAAACAAACGTTAGATGTACTGTGTTTAGTATAAGTGCAAACTGCTGCGTTTATAAATTACCAAAAAATCCCAATTGTTCTCTTCAAGGATGTATATGGCTCGGGCCACATCATCAATGCCTGTGCATGCCTGTAAAGTGAGGAAAAGCAACAACAATGAGGGAAAACGTTCGTTCGTTCATTAATTTCATGGTAAAAAAGACACACTGTCATCATTTCATAACCTCACTGGGTTCGTTATCTGCTGACATTCGGAAGGGTCTCGATGCAAAAGGACTGAATAAACTCACCTGAAAATCGGCCAATATCACCTCTCTGTTCTCTGACATTGTCCCTTCTCAAGTACTCTCCTTTTCACAAGTACACAAAATATCTGCTAAACTTCTGTCGCCTTGAGGTGGTACACAAAATCACAAATCCTTTCAACGAACGACGATAGGAAAACATAAGATTGAGCTGCGCTGTTGCCAAAACGTTTATCAATAAACTGCAATTCGTAAAAGGCGAATCGATAATCGATTGCAACTATAACGCATTACATATTACGCAATTGCACAACTGATCTAAGTAATTTAATACGCTTCTAATACAGCGAGAAGAATAAATTGAACGTAATTGGTGATCTCTTGAAACCTGTAGTTTTTTTTTCGGTACTCGCTTGGCAACATAGCTAGCAGACACATGCGCATTGTTTATTTGAAATTTCTAAATTTCCCTTTGTTTATGCAGCATTTTAATTGATTTATCTGGAAACGAGAAAACAAAACATTCTATATTTTTGCAATTAAACTAATTGTTATAGATTCATTAATCAATCCATCATTAAGAAACATATTCATGCATATATCAAAAACATACATATTTTGCAATACAATTTATAATCTAAATATTGCATTCAATTCCCTCTCACATTTAATACTTACATACTTATTATCATCATCGATATTTTTGCTTTCTCTTAATTTGTTTGTTTTCTTTAAACAAATAAACACTGCGAATCCTGTGGATGGATATGGATGGATAAATGATCTAAATGTTAATTCAAGGTTATCTTAACAAGGCTGAAACTCATCTGGAAGTCTGACGTTTTGTTATAGTAAAACATTGCGTCATGCTAATCGTACTCGAATGGGTGACATATCTTAATGTTATGTTATGTATAACCGTTATTGTTTATATTATGTTAGCCCTTATTATTTCACACATGTGTATGTAAGTAAGTCATTGTGACTTAGCACAAATACTACTTAGGAAGATCCCATAACTTATCATTGTCTAATGACTAATACACTCTACTATAGAACAGGATGTTTATGTAATACATACTCAGGGAGTCCTAATGAGTCCAAGTCATGGATAGTCCTAGTCCTAGCTAGTCCAAGTTAGTTTTAGTCATAGAGGAGAGTCCTAGTTAGACTAGTAACAAACCTAGCAACTGGAATCTAGACATAGAAGTTATAGTGAATAATATCATAAAAACTCCAACTTCACCTCTAGAATTCCTTAAAAACTCTCACTAGAACTTCACGCCGACATAACTACGAGATATTCCACAGTGTCCACAGATATTTGAATCCCAGGACACTACAGTTATCTTAATGTAAACAAATGCAATGATTAATATAAGTGTTTATTAAAACCATAATACTTATTGTAACAAATACATTAAACAAAGTAAAACGTATTTATATTATTAATATAATGAATTAAGTATTGTTAGAAAAGAGATTTTGGATGTTTCTTATAAAATTACTTTCATTATTGTATTTGTAAATTTCGTTATCAAAAATGTTTACAACTTTCGTTTAATAATGAAAAAATAAAATATTCGTCATTATGTGCAGTAAAAAATCTCGGAATTCATTTAAATTCAAGATGTTTTAAGATTGTGTAAGTAAAAACTTGCAGGTATCGATGGAAGACCTACTGTTAACATGTACAGTCATTCTAAAACCTGTTTGAACTTGTAGCATACAATCATGAGGAACGAGCATAGAATTTGTGCAAAAGGTCCTAAGTGAAAAGTTGAAATGATGCACGAGGTGCATTCATAATAACACTTTATATACTTGATGATTTGATATAAACTATTTCTCATTCGCACTTGGAAATTATTATATATTGAAATAAAAAAAAAAGGAAATACAAATACATTCAGGGTTTTCAATTGTTGCAATTCATCAAAAATAATTACCTTCATAACAACGAATCGTTCAACAATAATTAAATATTTGTATAATGGTTTCATTGAATTTATAATGTAAGATAAACGTACAAAAAATATATCTGATTTCGTAGTATATAAAATTTGCACTTAATTAATGTTATTTTTCTTGAGCATAGTCTCAGTAAAACCTTAATATGATGAGCATAGTCTTAGTCAATCTTTTAAAGTACCTAAGTTGTCTTGGAAAGGACCACAAGAGTACCAATTATTATAATAAACTTGTTTAAAACCAATTGAATTATCTAATTCCTACAACTGAGACTCCACAAGCCTGGCTGTGTCCAGAATTCCATCCCTGTGACATGACAAAACATTATAATTATTATTAAGTGTATATTTGGTTGCCTTCATCAAAATGCTATGTGACTATTATGTTAGGACAAAACGTTTGATATATTATCATGACATAAATAAACAGATCTAGTTATTAAATAATATTTTAATTAAAGAATACCATTGTTTCTTTGTAAACGATCGAATATTTGTAACAAAAAAAAATTGTTAATTTACTTAAAAAAAAACTAATACAGTGGAACTTCGCTTAACGAGTTTAATCCGTTACTCGTATAGTGAAACATATTCAAAAATACACATAAAATGTGTACAGAAGTACACGGGACTTCTCTTCTCATCGTCACTCGATATGCGAAACGTCGTCATTTTTCTTACAATTCATTTTATATAATCATAAATTGATATAGTTTTTCAATTTGTTTATCTGTTATTTATAAAGAAAATAAGAAAATTATGTAAACTGGTAAACAAATATTGAATAATTTTTTTTGTATATTGGCTCGAAACCAAAATTTAAATGTATACACGGTGTGGTGTGAACGTTTTGTTTTTCCTGAGCATGAAGGCTCTAAAAAAAACATAGTTATTTTTATAATTTAGATTTTTTCTTTATTTGTACCCACTTCCGATTTTCGATAACTAAATTCACCGACATTTTATAACCAAAACTAAAACCAGTATCATTACTCAACTTCCTACAATACCAATTTAATGAGCTTGTATAAAATGTTATCAGTTTAAGAAAACATTTATGAACATACAACATGCATTAATTGTATTTTGTTGTACATACTCCGTATAGTGCTGATAATCGCGAATATTCCGGACTGTTTGAAACCAGAATAATCGAGGAATTAATTGGTTCAAAAAAAATAAACCGCAACAAAAAGAGACTTAATTGTAAATGAAAAAAAAAAACTGAATAGAAAATGAATAGAAAAAAAAAACTATATAAAATAACATTTTTTTTAAGCAAATGTAACTGTGTATTGATGTTATGTAATTTATTTTTATTTTGCTCAATCCGGACTGTTCGAAGACGCACTGTACGAGGTATTAGAGCACTGAAAATAAATGATGCGAAAATGGAACACAAAAGTTACAAAAGATAATTTGTAACAAGTTAACTTTATTTTGAACATTTTAGAGATTTAATAGTTTAATTTTAATCCATTTCATAAAAGGAACGCATATTACAGCAATACTGATAAGAGCACAGGAATGTATCTATACTTGCTGGATTCCCCAAACATTCAGCTTTCATATGCATATGGATTGGATTCATTCTATCTATTATAGTTTTCGAGTAAATCAATAAAATATGAAATCACTGCTTTTTCGAATGTTCTAATTTCCATTTTTCAACTTTGAACGCGTATTACAGCTATATGGATAAGAGCACAAGAATGTATCTACACTTTAGCAGATATTTGGAAAATTGCTCACTGCTACTAATATTCGCGCCTCCCCTAAAATACCGGTTTTTGAGCGTAGATTTAAAATATAAAAATTAAAGATTTATTTGAAGATGTTTCTTTAAATAGCTTCTAAAAGTGAGATAATTAAGTTTTTTTTGGATAAATATTATCAAAATTGTATCCAAATTATTAAATACAAGATGACCGTGATGATGAATAAACGGTGAGGAAGAAAAAAAAATCATAGCTTGCATTGAAACAATCAATTTATAAATATCCTTAGGAACCTGAACCCTAAAAAAAGAATTTTTATTATTAAAAAACTAAATTATTATTTTTTTAAATAATTTAGTTCATTATTCTCTAAAGACGAATAAACCCAGCATTTTAGCAATTTTGTATACGTTTTGTGAGCATAGAAAACAAGTTGTAAAAATCCCTTTTCTTTATTTTTTTTTGTGAATATTCGAAAACCGGTTTTGTGGAAAAGTTTAAATTCGAAAACCGGTTTTTTTTGTATAAATGACCAATTGGATTGCAGAATAATTACAAACAAATGTATTGGGTCGCAAGGCAAAAACTTTGGATGTATCATTTTTAATGTAGTTTATTGTTTCTGTTAGCATATATTGTATTACAAGTGAATACTAACGTAATGTTTTATATGCACAACAGAGCCTTTCATATTCCGGCTTCGAGCAATTTCGGATTCTGTTGGAAAATTCAAAAACAAAACTACATTTTAGACTTTTTTAAAGTGCTCGATTAGTTCTGTTTCAAAGAGTCCGGAACTGATTAATAAGTTTATGACTAAAATAAATAAATTTGGATTTTCCATACCTGATGTAGTTTATAGTTTCTAGTAGTAAATACTAACTTAATGTTTTCTTTGTACAGCAATACTTTGCACAATCCGGATTCACTATAATTCAGATTATATGAGTAATTGCTGTCAACGTATTTGCTGTATTTATTAAACTTTTGATTGATATTAATTAATCACAAATTATCTTGATCCACGATCCAATTTGATGAATACTAACATTGCATTTTAATAATATTAAACTTGTGGCATATTTATCATCTTTCTATAAACTTTCTTGACTCACAGAAGAATTGAAGTGTTTAATAAATCGATCGATACATCATCGAGAGCATATCAAATCGAGAGATATCAGATGACATATTTATTGTAAATGCACATGTGCATTCGATGAGTTGTATTTATAAAATCGATGAAGACGAGTTCTAAATTTAAGAATTCAAGTGTAAAAATAGTGTGCGATGCGAGATGATGCGACTTCGTTCGATGCGTCCACGGACCACGGGTTTTCCAAATTGCCAAACAATATATCGGATCCGACAAACGGCTCAAACCTCAACCTCTTCTGATAAATCGTCTGCGGTGAGTCTATCAAATGTGCTTTATTATTACATGATAAATGAGCAAACTACAACAAAACGAGTGAGAAGTAGGAATAACGCGCACATTCGCAAGGCATTTCCTCTACTGGATTTGATATAAAAAGCAAACGGGAAGCGGGATTTCAACCAGTTTCCGATTAGATTTTCTGGACTGAGCAATTGTAGCAAAAAAAAGAAAAATGAATGTTGTCGTTGCTTGGGCGTTCACCCTCGTCGTTTGCAGTTGGTGCATTGGACTCAACGAAGGTAAATTCAGTTAATATTTTATGTAAGTAACGTATATACAGTTCTCTCGATTTATTGTCCACTATAAGGTAGGAGAGTTTGCGTACCTGAGAAGATTTACGTGGAACCGTGTCAAGTGTGCAAATGTTCGAAAGACGGCTTCAACATGTATTGCCAGAAAAAGGATTGCGAACAAGATGAATATCAATCGGTGAGTCTCTTTACATTAGTAGTGAAATATTATATTTTTTTTTTAACTATTTGTATGATTTCAGTTGAATCCGGATGATTATTTCGATGTTGATTCTTTCTTGCCGAAGGAAAGGATACCTTATTTGGACGATGAAATAGAAGTTGACAAGGAAGAGGAATTCGAGAATGATTCCAACGATATTTCCGATGAAAAATTTGGCGGTGATTTCAGATTCGAAAAGGACTTTCAAGATATTGAGTTGAATGATGATGTGGAGGATATAGGACAGTTGCCTCCCAACTACAGATTCCGAAGGGAAATTTTGATTTAAAAACGTTTCCGCAAAATTAATCTTGAATTAAATTAATTTCTTATTATATATCTATATATTTTTTTATTATATGCACGTGATTAAACGTTTAAATGTAAGTGATCTTCTCTGGCAGTGTGGATTAATATAATAAAAATAAAAACATATACGTTAGTTGTCGCACCAACTGAATTGAAACCCAAACATATTAAATTTCCTTATTTTTTTTTATTATAGTTTATTAAATTTTCATTTTATTGGAATGGATTAAGGACATAAACAAAGTCTAACAAAAGTTGGCTGGAAAAAACAAAAAAAAAACAATTTTATGTTAATATATTTAATTTTCATCCTTTTGTAATTTCTCAATATGGAGCTTTTCAAGTTCGACATTCACTGCATTAATGTTAGTGATCTTGCATTTTCTCCTATACATTCTTACCGATCTTCTCGAAATTTGACAAGCAATATCGTTAGATATGTTGTGATATGTGTTGGATTCATTCTATGTATTATAGTGAGTAAATCAATGAAATGTAAAAACACTGCTTTTTTGAGCATTTTTTAAA